AATTATAATATTTTAAATCAGAATAAATATAATAATCGAATACACTAAATCTAAAAAATTTTTCTAATTACGAAAAAAATCACAAGTGGGATAAAACTTGATAGCAAATGATGACGACATCTTCATCACGAATTGTAGATTCTCATCGACAGTCCGGTTTTCTCACACTTATTAATTCTGGGCTTATACTTTTCCTATATTAATATATACCTGGTCATATTTATGCTAAATTCCATAAATAAAATCATCGCAAAATTAATGAGAGATTTTTTTGAGATAAAATAAAATTAATAACTGACTTCAGATTTGAATATTTTATCAAGAAAATTAATGTTCATATAGATTTTTTTTTTTTTTTTTTTTTTTTTTTTAGTCCAAAGGGATTTGAATCCCGAAGGACTATTAGTTTCGTTTTGGCATTTTGCGTCGGACTCATAAATGTCGGTTCACTTTTCAAACTGTTGCCCAAAATGTTAGAGTCCTGCATTATATTTGAAGAAATTAAATAATGAAAAATCTGCGTAAATGTATGTATATTTCTCGTATTGTCATAAAACAACGGTACATAGAGTCATCGAATTTTGAATAACGTAATCCGCCAACGAATATGAGCATGTGGAAGACCAAATTTGAAATTTGAAATTTGTTTTATGATCGATTTCCTATTTTTTAAAACTTTGACGAATTTTTGATTAACAAACTCAAGGATTTCAAAGCGAGCAATGGCAACGTTGTGCAGAAAAAACATTTTTATCTCCAGCGCGTGAGTCTCTGTATCGGAAATTCTAAAGATATGCTCGTTTTTTAAAACTATTTTGCGATATTGCTGTTGCACTGGATCTTATGGTTTAAGTGCGAGGAACATGATATTTAATAAAGAAAGGTAACATACAAAATGTTAAAAAACGCCCCTTTGGACGTAATTTAAAATCTGAAACATTTCAGATTTTTTTTTTTTTTTTTTTTTTTTTTTTTGTTTGTAATAAAATAAATATAGTAATGAATTTACTGGAAATGTATTCATAGGCCGTGCAAAATTGCTTCAAATGCAGTCTATAGCTCGCGGGCCTCTACTTTGAGACCACTGCTCTAGATTATCACGAAGGGGAATTGTTGGAAAGTGATAACTAAAACATTTGAAGTCATTTGAAGAAATAACAGTGAATTTATAGATTAATAATAACGGTACTTCTTGTTGTAGAATAAAAATTATGGTAACAAACCTGTTGTGTATATGAAATATTAAGAGTAATTTTGTTCCCTTACAGACAAAAACTAGAAAGTGTAAAATAATTTACACAAATTCTTCCAACCCTAGCTCTTGCATACAGAGTTGAGAAATAAATGTGGGCATAGGTTTTTCAAAAACATTTTAATATGAAAATAGTTCTCATTATTGTAATTCGAAAGTTATTTCAAAAATGTGTTCAAAAATATGATTACATGCATTCAGACAACAGAAAAGGAATCAGATACATCTGAAATTGACCATACGTATATCTACCTAAATTTAAAAACATTTCAAACTTCTAAATAATCAGTTTTTAAACTTGAGCGTATCTACTTCTCTGTTACTTTATGTCGTTGTTTCATTAATTTTTATGCAATTTAAATAAGCAATTTAAATAAATTTTATGCTAATTTAAATAAGCAGTTCATATGAGGTTTGTAAAATATTAATTGGGCTTTTTAGATTTTTTTAAGCATTATAAGGTTTCATTTTAAAATACTTAAGAAATAAGATTCAGTAGTAGAATGGGTTGTAGAGACATTAGGTTATTTCGAAGCAGGAGAGATATGGTCACTTTACTTAACCTGTTCCGCCAAACTGAGTTAATGGCACTACAGGGTTAGGAAGTTATCCTATTCATTGCTAGCAATCTGACGGTTAGGCCGCCTTTCTACATTTTACTTTAATCTGTAATTTCTTGGATATAATTATTTTCATTCACTTGCTTCATTATGAAAAATGAGCAATGCCCTCGTCGGGACTCGAACCACGGGCCTCTCGGATACGCGCCGAGTGTGCTAACCACTACACTAGGAAGGCATGCTAAAAAGGAAGGAGAAATACCTTATAGAATTTTATAATTTTTTTTAAGCATTATAAAATTTCATTCTACAAAAGTACGTCGAAAAATTCTGTTTAATAGCGGAAAATTTACCTAAAGGGTTACGAATAACAATTGTTACGTATTCAAGCAAGTTATTTCACAAACTGACATCTCTTCGCATAATCTTTTAGCGAAGTACATGAAAAGTTATGATGGACGAACTGAAGTAATCAAAACATACGGGGGACTCTAAGTTATACTAAGGTTTTGCACTTTAAAATACTTTATTATAAAAATAATTATAATTAAAAAACTTAATTCTTCGTTATGGTATTGAAAAAATATAGCGGACCGATCATTCATACTTCTGATGAAAATTTAGCATTAGTGTCTTGTACGCAAAACTAGTGAACCATGAAAATATCCGTCCAAAAGATTAGTGATTGTATTTCCAGAACTTCTTGCTCTTTCCAGACTCGGAAATTCTTAAACTAGGAATTAATTTATATTTTGATATTCAAAATTCCCTTTCAAAGATTCTGAAGAAGCACGAGATTCTAAAAATATTTTAATTAAGAAAGACCTGCTTTAACAAGTGAACAGTGCTGTGATATTTGAATTAGTTTAAAAATTTATGGTAAATTAGCTCAGATATATTCGAATTCCATTCTGACTGAAAGACAAGGTGGTATCAATTCAAATGTAGAAAAAAAAAAAAAAAAAACAATTAAGTTTCTTTCTGTCATAAAACTCTTGTAAAACTGTTTAAAATGACAAAGAGTTTAAATAACTTTACATAGCAAAACTATCACACTTTTTTCAGATTGTACCAGTAAAGATAGAGCAATACCATTAATTTTAAATAAAAAAATGATCTTGAACTTGCAATATAATGAGGATTTGAGACTAATATATTTGGATGAAAATCCCAAACTAAATTCTGTTTACATTATATAAATTTATTTCGTAACGACATTGTGATACAATTTCATCTCTCTCTCTCTCTCTATATATATATATGTATGTATATTTTTTTCAGTTTTATACATTTTTAAAAGTAAGGAAAGTTACTTTAAAAATTTCTACGTATTAGCAAAAATTCCCCCCCCCCTTATATGCTATTTTTCGCCTTCCTATTCCTTCTTTGAAATTAGAGCTTTTTAAGTTTTATTGTCAAAAGTGTGAGTTAGAGCAGGAATTCTCAACTGGTGGTACGCGTACAACCGGTTGAGAATTCCTACTCTACTTGTGGTACGCAAGAGAAAAATAGATGTTATGCTGGTGGTACCCCTGGTGATCCGCAAGAGAATACCACTGGTGGTACGCAAGAGAAGAATAGGTGGTACGCAAAGAAGCAAAATATTTTCGACTGTTAAATTCAAAATTTAAAACCCCAACATCCTGATTGAATGTTTTCTCTAACACTCGTAAATTTATGTAATCTGAGTTTTGTTGAAGAGTGGTGGTAGTAATAGTACTTTGTAGTGGTGGTGCTAAAGGTTTTCAATTTTTGTTTAGATGGTACGGGCCCACCAGCGGCCGAGCGGTAACGTCGCTGAACACTGGTAGTTCGGTCCGAGGTTCGAATCCCGCGAACGGGCTGGCTGCATGGGCGTTTTCGTGGTTTTCCCCATGTGTAACGATAGTAATGCTCGTATGTGTAACGTGGTTTTCCCCATGTATACGAGCCAGTTTCCCTTAGAAAGTCCTCCACGAAGGCATTCCTCCTCTTAGGCAGATAGCTCTCGAGGCTTTGCCATAATTACATACACACACACATGTTTAGATGGTACGCGTTAGTCAAAAGGTTGAGAACCGCTGGGTTAAAGAATACTTCCCAAGTTGCTTACGAAGTAAGAGAACACAAAATTAAAACACAGTTTAAGTGTTTTTAAATGTGAAAATTCATAAAACGAATTGTGCCTGTAAGTTTCGGCTGAGGTTTTAGATTTAGCCGAGCAAACACGGCAAGCAAAAAGTAAACCAATGCAAGTAAATTTAGAAGTGAGTGAAATTGAGATGGTCAGCAACCTTTGACGAAATATCACTCTTAAAATCAAGAACTCTGTTCTCATGCACATAAACTAATTTCTAACCTGGTAGGAGCCAACGAAATTAGAAGTGATAGCACGGAAAAATAATATGATAATGGGTATAAATGAATATATATGAAGCTGTACGCATGAGAGTATAAGAGAACTCTACAAATGAGAGTATATAAGCGTAAGTGAAATATACTAAATGGTAAATTTTGGAATATCTTAAAATAGAAAATTTTACTATTATTAGATTTAAGTGTTACAGGTTTGCGATTTCCTTCAGAAACCGTGACGTTATGTCTGAAAATAAATGCAAGGACAGACCTAAAATCTCTATTTTTTTAAAATGCAATAATAAGTATATTATAACTTTAAAACTTTTAATTTTTAAGAACCGACCATAAATTTAATAAAATTTATATACTGACTAACTGCGTCAACAGCAACTGGAAGCGATAAATTTTAAAATAATCTTTTCTAGGAAACAGGTTTTGAAGGACGGAAAAGGTTTGACTGAATTTCAGTCAAAATCGATTCAGGATTTCTAACAGTAGCTTTCATATACCTATTCCATAAATTATGCATTTCACGTTCCATACAATGCAAGATATAGAAAAGTAATTAGAAAATGCGTTTAGACGAAAGTGGGAGTTTTATTATTACAATATATAAATTGTTTATTATTTAGAAAACAACAGGCATAAAAATTTATTTTATCAGATACGTAACAATTGTAATATGATATATCGAAGAAAAGTGCAAGAAAAAAACCAATAAAAATTACCTCCTTTTTTCCAAAATACTAGAAAACAGTTGTTTTAATTTCCTACTAGAAAACAATTGGTTCCTGACAGGAGAAGTAAGTTAACTGAGAATAATGTTCAGGACATAAACAAGTCTGTCTTACCTTTAGAGTAAGCACTGGAAATCACTATGACGGATGCGAAGGAAATCCATTTCAAAAGCGGCTTTAATCGCATAACGCATCGTCTACATATCTCCTCAGAACTTAGGAAAGACGATCCTCTCAACTTTAGCAAAGATCAAACTAATACAAGACAATTTTCACCAGTGGTACTAGAAGCGGAAAACTCCCTGAAGCGTTTGGACACGCGACCTGAGAAAACAATAGATTCGAAGAGGAAGAGAAAGAAAAAAAAAATCAGTTCTTCTCCCTACTTTGCTTTTTATATCCAAACGATTCAGTAGTAGAATGGGTATCTTGCTTCAGTTTTCGAGTTCTGGGTTAAAAGGTCATATTATGAGGTTGAAACAAACGTAGTTGAGAAAAATGACCTTATAATTCCATTTCGTGGTATTTTTGCATATTATTTTTAGATACCAAGAGATGCTTCTTTAGATGATTATTTCATTTATAGCTCTTAAAAAGGCACCTGGGTGGAAAAAAGGACAAGCGTTCAGACTCATCAAGTTTTATATCTTTGCATCATTTATATCAAATTCATGAATATCATCGTAAATGAAAGGGACAGTGTCTTTCCACAGTAACTCTTTGAATTAAGTTTATCCTCAAGAGTCCTACTGTGATATGTAACTTGAAGTAAACACGGCCTTTTAAGGAATTATTATTAATGGTATTGTGGAGTCATTAGGATGTTTTGAAGCAGAAGACATGAACAATGAGCAATGCCCTGGCCTGGACTCGAATCTGGACCTCTCGAATACGCGCCGATTGTGCTACCGTTACAGCACGATGGCATCCAAAACGAAGGAGAAAATACCTTATATACTCCGGCGTGGCCCTTTATGACCGCAAGATCAACTTGGTTGGTTAGGTGAGTGGAGTTGAGCCCACTTCTGGTACTTTATATGCTCTTCCTTTTAAAGGGCGACTGGGGATTAAGGGACAAAAATCACCAAAACCTGGTGGTGAAGAAGAAGAATCATTATCCATCACTTTTTTAGTTCGGCGCCACTGTAGAGTCATTAGGTTATTTTGAAGCAGAAGACATGAAAAATGAGCAATGCCCTTTCCGGGACTCGAACCTTGACCTCTCGATTACGCGCAGAGTATGTTTCCGTTACAACACGAAGATGCAACAACCGTTACAACACGAGCTAGAAAGGAGGGAGAAAATACTTTATAACATTTGCATAAAACTAAAAGGAATTTCCCGTCTTTTTGTAGAGTAAAGAAAGAATTAAGCATTGAAAAATATTTCTTTAAATTTTATACATATGAAGCAAATGCATATCAAAACTAAAGTAGGTTTATCTAAAATCTTGTAAACCAGATATTTTAATTTTGAGTACAGGTAGAATAGTGAACTAGCTCCTAGTATAGAAATTGTGCAGTCTTTGACTACTGTTTTACGTTTAACTTAAATTTGACTGTTATATTTAGTTGCATCACTACGAGTTATGGTTATATTGCAGTACAAGAGGGTGCCCTTTGTTTCTGAATTCTGTAAACTTCTCACGACTTTTGTCGTTGTTTCAGACATAGCGATAATTCGTTTCTCGTTTGTTAGGGTTATTAGACATTACTAGATCAGCAGAAACCTTACAGTATTTTTTGACATTATTGTTATATTTAATAAAACTGATAGTTAAAAAGTTTACATTATTATCATACTTTAGCAAGAATAAGTAGTTCAATAAGTAACCATTGATTGACGCCACTGAAGGATCAAATAAAGCCATATTAATGCACCGTTGAAAGCAAACTCAAGAAAAAAAGAGCTATCAGTTTTCACTGACTTTCATCTTTTGATGATGAATGATACTATATTACAGAAAGTGGTGTTACTTCAGAAAGAATTATTTTACTTTGGTGTTAAGACTCAGAGAGCAAAAATGCAAGAGTTACTAATCTCATATCTGAAAGCAGATATTCGAATGTAGTTGTAATTTACAGGAAATATTCGACATCATTTTTTAAATCGTAAAGCTATTGGGCTGTTCGGGCAGAGATACATAAAAAATCAATCGTCTGGATTCGAAAGATTTTGGTTGGGTTAACTACGTAAGCCACAAGAGCACGTATGGGGTGAATGCGATAACTCCTTATATCATTCTTTACTTAAAAAGTATCTATATATAGGCACGAGTAAGTGATAAATTATCTCCTTCTATATAATTTAGAAATCCTGTGCCACTATGAAGACAGTTAAGTTTTTAAAACGAGGAAAAGTAACAAATTAACTGTGCTTTTGCCGGTTTTGAAATGGATATGTTAGTCGGTGCACAATGACCTGATTAACATGAATTTTAAAATAATGGGTCTGTCGTAACTCCATACTAACGTATATATTTGGATTTAAGAATACCAAAAAGATTTTTTGTTTTTTAAGGGAACATGAGGAAAGGAACAGGTGTAAGGTTTTTGACTGTCTTTGAGAATATCCCTTAAGATGCTATGCTTCAATATAACCTAACTGCTTACTGAATGGAATATTTCAGAGCTAGAAACGTGAAAAAATAGCTACACCTCTCCGACACTCGAATCAAAGATATCCCCATTCGCTAACTAGGCATGCTATTAATTCCCATTACGACAGAATATAAGGTGAATGAGACAATGCTTTATATTCTTCCATTTAAAAATTGACTGAGAACAGGTATGAGATCAAGCCGATCAATTCCAAATGATGACAAATTATCGCCCATCTGATTTTATTTTGTTCGATGCTGTACAGGCTTCTAACTGTTTTTGAGCCTGGCTTTGTTTTTGTTGTCATTGTCTTGTCCATTGAAAAGGTACTAAATGGAGCCAGAAAGCCTGCAGGACAAGCCTTGTCAGGTCTACAGCCTGAGGACTATGAAGGATATCCTGTCTTGGTGAGAAGTTGGCAAGGAGCAGCAATGGTAGCCTGGCAGTTGAATATATGCTCTGGCGTTAGTTGGGTTTGTGAGCAATTTATGCATGTGGGGTAAGGTCTTGAGTTATTCATAGCTTTAAAATAACCTGTATGAAGTCTTGCCACTGCAGACAAGAAGCCTGTGGGGCAGTCAAGGTTCGGAATTAGTGGCTTTCTAAAATGTCTGGCAAAAATATTGCGTTTTGCAACTGCTTTTGCATCTTCAAAGGTAACAATGAGGGCTGGTCCTAGTTTCGAGCTTCTTATACTAGGGTATAGGCATACTCATTTAGTTTGATGCCCACGTGTGCAGGGATCTACTGAAGAGTGTAGGGTATTACTGAAGAGTGTAACTACTGAAGTATTTGATTGAAAAGAAAATTTATTTCTTGAATTAGTCTTGTTTCTCCATGGCAGATGGTTTTGAGTGCTTATTTTGAGTCTGAGAATACCACCAGTCCATCCGTTGAAGCATCAAAAATTGAGGCTTAAGGCGTAGAAATTACTTAAGGCGTAGAAAGTAAGGATTTCCTTGATTGAAATCAATTCACTGGTGAAGTTTTAGGCTATATGGCCTGAGGGAATTTTGAGTTCAGTTTTTCACCAGAGCGGGGAACAAGAAGGATACTAGCACCACCTTTATGTGTGTGTGTGTGATTATAGCAAAGCCTCGAGGGCTATCTGTCTAAGGATAGGAATGCATTAGAGGAGGACTTTCTAAGAGAAACTGGCTTGTATACACGTTACGCATGGGGAAAACCACGAAAACGCCCATGCAGCCAGCCCGTTGGCGGGATTCGAACCTCGGACCGAACTACCAGTGTTCAGTGACTTTACCGCTCGGCCGCTGGTGTGCCGCACCCCTTCTATGAAAAGTATTATCTGAGGAACCGTCTGTGAAGACAAACAATTTATTTCCCTGGAAGAATAAGCTGATTGTATCAACTCCATTTTGGCATAACATCAGAGTGTATTATTTTAACATGTTGAGACGAATCGTAGTGTTGGCAAGTGGATTTTTGGAAAAAGAAGGTTCCTGAAGAATATCTAGAGAACAATGATCAAGGTAAAAAACTTTTCTGATATCTCCGACATAATGCAGAGTTTATGATGTCTGAAGTATTGTTGGTCTTTCTCAAGATCAAAAGACTCTGTTAGAGCTATGATTTTTATTAAAGCTTCTTAGCTTATTTATGAATTTCACAGTTGCAAATCTACGCCTGCTTTCCAAGGACATAAAGCCGCTTTCTGCAACAGCTCGAGGAAGCCTGCAACCTAAGGGACGCGTCCCCAGGTGGCGGATAGGGGAATGCCTCCACTGGTTTCCAGTGAGTGGTAGAAGGGAAATAAAACCGAGAACCAATAGGTAGAAATCCAACCTCCTTGAGGCAATGGGCCCTCTTTTCTGTGGATTGTGCATTTAATGCAGCCTGGCTTTAAAACATTTAACAAATTAACTTTGCTGTCGCCTGGATTTGAGTCGTGGACCTTCCACTTGCTAGTTGGACGTGCTAACCACCTACCCCACGCAAGCATTTGCGAGAGAATACGGTAATTTCTATATTTTATATCACTCATTTTTAAAGCTTGTATATGTAGGATGTATTGCTTTCTAAATGAATGTTCTTGCTGTAAAAGTGTAGATTTGGATTATTCAAGATTCACATGCAGACTAGTCAAAATTCCCAGGTTACAATGATTTAATATTTCGTGAGAAAGTCATGAAAATTTCGAATCTTTTATGTTTGAAGCAATCTTTCTTAGACAGCCATATACTCCAAATTAATACTTCGAGTGGTAAAGTATTATTCGGCTTTGCGTTATTTCACTATCATCTTATTTAGACGGGGTAAATATTTCCTAAACATAAAATGTCTGTTTCTTAGATTAGTTACTTCAGTAAATAAAATAAGAAAGAAATGACACATTTAAAAAAATATTTTATCAGAGTAACTTAATTTGACAAGAAGAATAACACATTTAATTTGAAGGCGGCCAACAGAAAGGTTGGCGTATATATCTTCTCGTAGAAAATTGCTTGGTACATGTGACCTTATTAGCAAATTAAAAACCTTTGATATTATTTACTAAATTTTACGAAATGCTATTGTGAAGTTTCTTATATTCAAATAAACTGGTATAGTGAACTCTAATGATATTTACCAGAATGACAGAAGGTAAGTTTTATATTTATTT